ATGCCATATTCAAACCTTTGACCACTGCATCCAGCTCTGCCATGTTGATGTGGGCCACTTCACTGGATCGAAGCCATGACGCATCCTCCACCACATCCCCGTCGATTTCAAGCATCACGCCTATGGCAATTGAGCTAGCGTCCACCCAGACGCTTGCCTTCTCACCGGAGACATCCCAGCGCCCGCGAGCAGGATCATGCTGCGTAGTTCGAGCCCACACTTCCTTCAAGAACGACCGGACATGTTCACAGCGAATGGGTTCGTCCCAGTTTTGTGTGACCGCGTTTGCTCGACGCTTGATGAATGCAGTGGCCACTCGCAACCATCCGCAGACAGGATAGTGGCCCAGTAGTTTTCCACACGCAGAAAACACTGAGCGCCGGGTGAGATGCGTGGGAAGGTCCTCCAGCTCCGCGCCACGCCTCCAATACAGTTTTTCGTGCTCCCTCCACACTGACAAACCAAGAAGACGTGCACCATCACTCACCCGCTCCGGCTCCTTTGTCAGTAGGCCGAATTTTGTCAAGTGCTCGCGCACATACTCGGCCGATGCCACGTCTTCCCGAACCAAGATGTCGTCGACAAAACTGCTGGTCGCCTCTCGTACTAGGTCGTTTTGTGAGAGGACACAGTTCAGAATCGCTTTCATTATCAGTGGTCCTACGTTCAAACCAAAACCAAGCCTTGTCAGCGCCCACCGCTTCCCTTCAAAAACGACAGTTTGGTAGGGCCAAAGCGATTTCTTGACGTGGATCTGCAAGTAGGCACTCTTCAGGTCCAGTGCGGCGACGTCAACTCCCATCATCCGCCACGTTCTCAGTTTCTCTGCACAAACATCTGCGTCCGCCGTATGTGCCTCAATGAACTCATTCAGTTCCCTGTAATCCATGACAGGCCTGACCTTCTGCTTCTTCTCTTGCACCACCGCCATCAACGGTATCAGTCCCTTTGGCTCTCCGAGCTCCGACGCATCGTAGGGAATCAGTAACCCCTCGTTCACCCACCTCGCCAGCTCTGCCTCGTACTGATCACGGTACTCACTCGGAACCGAGTACGAACCCACCTGATTGTGAATTTCGCACGGCCCACATTTCTCAGACCACTTCCATTCGGCCACCCACCGATTCTCCTTAGGATCATAAACAGCTTGAAAGTCTTCACCTTCGACACAGATCTGTCCAACTCTCTGGTGACATGCCTCTGAACGTCCAAGTGGTGCCGGAAGGCTCTTTAACGGCGGCAAACTAGTCGATGACGTCTTCACAAGCGCTCCTGTCGCCGCTGAATTGCGCTTCTTAGCCTCAGTCTCTGCCGAAACACTGATCTTTTTTGCTGCCGAGTTGAAGTGCACGCGCTTGGCATTCAAGATTGTCACGCCCCCCAGCTCTCTTATTCCATTCATCCCAAGAATGAATTTGAACCCCAATGGACTTTTGTCAACAACTACAACTTCTACCTGCACGTCACCAACATCTTCCACTCGCAGTCGTACTTGTCCTGTTCCCAAACAGCGCATCTTTTGACCGTCAATGGTTTCTACCTCCACTCTTGTGCTGCGCCACTGACGACAACAGGAAACATCACAAATAGACGTTGAGCATCCTGAGTCAACAAGCGCATCAACCATCATGCCATTCAAACTGACCTGGGCCGTTGGGAGCGCCGCCACTAGCGACCGTCCGGAGAGGAGGCTGGCGCCGACGCTTCCTCTCCGATGGTGTTTCCCGGACATGCGCGTGCGAGATGTGGCCCGCCGCAGCGAAAGCACTCTAGTTTTTCGCGTCTTTGAAACGTGTTCTTCCGTAGGAGGCAGTCCTTAGCCAGGTGGTTTTCGCCATCGCAAACAAAACATCTTCTGTTCCTTTTGTTTCTTTCATATCCTCTCTGCATCACCCCGCTTGCAGCAGAAGAGGCGCCCATTCGTGACTCTACTTCAAGACCACCGGTGTCCTTTAGCACGGCACGCGCACGTGCCAGGAGCTGATCCAGTTGTAAGGACTCTACTTGGCATCCTGTCCTTAAAGCCTGGCGTGCTGCTTCTGGAAGGCCTGCTATAAAAGCGCACGCCAGCACTACTTCACTGATTCCACCGAAAAGTCCCGCCAGTCTTCTTAGGTCAGCCAGGAGCACATCAGCCGACTCGTTTGCCCTGAGCCTCCGTCTCAGGAACTTTTCGTATGCAGCAAAGGGATCGTCAGCGAAGGCTGAAAGTAACGCCGACTTTATCTTCTCGACGTCTCGCTTGGATGCCGCAGGCAATTGCTGATACACAGCAAAGGCACCGCCGGTAAGCCTCAGAGGTATCACATCAGCTAATTCACTGACTCCTCTCAGATCACAGACCAGCGTGACTTTATCTAGCCACTCGCTGACGGTACCGTCACCACTGAACTCGGGGATCAGTCGGACATCAAAATCGTTTTGCTTCCTTTCCATGTCTTGGCCAGTTTCTTTGCTTGTTTGTCTCTTTTTGCCGCCCATTTTTTAACAGTAAGGCCGAAATAGCTTGTGAGATAATGCAAATTTTTTCTCATACAAATTGCCTATATTCAGCATAACTCATCACATTCACCGAAATCCTCTCCAATTCCGTATCCCTCTCTCAATCTCCCCCCTCCTCAACCCTCCGTTTCCTCCTGAGACATTTTCCAATAATTTCGTAGCTCGTGGCCGTTATTGCATAGCGCCTTCGTCAATATGAAAATATCACTATGGTGATTACCTTCCTGTGTTTTATTGCATTTTCCAGCGTAATGGTTTGTCTTATGCTCCCCGTTGCAGTCTCCTGTCATACGGTACCTAGTTATTTTTCTATGTTTCGCTGCATTCTCCTATGGAGTAGTTTGTCTTGTGCTCTGCGTTGCAGTCTCCAGAGATAACGACGGTTGTTACCAAGGCGTTGTTACCGTTATATGTTACGTTGCATTCTCGACAGTGGAGAGGTTTGTCTTATACTCTCCGTTGCAGTCTCCAATAATATGGTAGTTGTTTGATGCTTCATATGTTTCGTCGCAGTCTCCCGTGAGTGGTGGTCTATTTTCACTGTCGTGGTTTCCAATAAGCGGGTGGTTACCGTTCTATGCTTTATTGCAGTCTCCCGCAGAGTGATTTGTTTTGTGCGCTCCGCTGCAGTCTCCAATGATACGGTGTTTGCCTTTCTTTGTTTCATTGCATTTTCCAAAGGAATGGCTTGCTTTATACTCTCCGTTGCAGTCTCCGGCGGGACCATGGTTAGGTACCTTTCTATGTTTCGTTGCATTCTCCAGTGGAATGGTTTGTTTTTCGCTCCCCGTTGCAGTCTCTGGCAGGCTGGCAGAGCTTCAAAAAAAAAAAAAAAAACACACACACACACATAGCTCTATGTTTTGCCCGCATTAACTGCAGTTTTAGATGCCACTGAGCTGTCGATCCCGCATAAACGTCCTACTCCTGACAAACGATTGGTGCTTAACCAGACTTCAAGGTGACCAAGCCAGTTTCAAAATAACCACCCAGGCGTATGTTCAAGTAGGTAGGTATGGTTTACATAAGAAGGACCGAGCTATCCTGAATCTATATAATTGTTGGAATGGATGTGACAAGCGATCTCGTTGCCATTCGTAATAATGCGACCGGCTCATTAGGTCGCATCCTCGTCCCAAGACAATGTGCCGACGGGGGACCGTCTCGGTGACGTCACAATACTAAGGGCTAATGGATGAATTCGGTGGCGTCACGACCCTTCAGCCAGATACTGTGACGTCACACATCGGCTGCCGATCGGTGCTGCCCGCTGATACCTATCAGTTCTAAGGCTATGCAGGGCGGCGGACACACCCGTCGGCCCCGGTGCTGGGCGGCGGCTCTCTCACGTGCTCTCTCGCTCGCCTCGGTGCGGGCCGCAGACCCGATGGCCGCTCCCACGCGGGTCCGGAACTGTCAGAGGCTGCACAGGGCGCCGGTCAGTGGTGAGAGCCGACAGCGCGGTCCTCCGCCCCTCGGCGACAGCGGGCCGAACAGGAGAAACGGGTCTGTCGTGTCCCTACGTCCCTGCGTTTAGATACAGCTTGATAGGCACCGGTCAACTAAATTCGGAGAGGGTGCGAGCGCAGACTAGGCCACCTGTCCAAACTACATCTGTTTTTTTTTTACAGATCGAATCTCAATCAGCAATTTTGCATGAAGGTGGGCACGTTTTTGCAACAAGCTCAAAAAGGAAGGGTAACGTTTAACCCTGCAAGAGGCAAGAGGCTTTCAGTCAATATAATGGCTTATGGCTTAAAATATCGGTAACCTAAATATGGATTATCCAAGACCGCAGACAGCGTGACTCTTTTTAATATAGGTAGGTACCTACCTAATACCTATGTCAGATCGAAAATAAACACAATCGTGTTCGAGTAACGTATCGAGCCAATCGACCCAGAACAAGTCGTGCGTGGTCCGTTTAATTTCGCGCCGTGACTGAGCCAGTTTTCGGGTCCGACCGGCGACGGTCGTGCCGTCAGCAGACAACCAAACTCCGGGTTCTCGCGTGAGTCAACAATCGGGTCCACTGAGCTGTAAAAATCTCTTTAAAAGCCTCCAGCCCGACACCATTGTTTTCTGTCGATTCCCAATAGGCTGCAACAGGGAACTGCACGACTGACTGAAGGGTTAAGGAAGACGGTGCAAGTGACGTATAGTAGTGTTTACTCCGGACGTAATCCGTGAATTATGTGCCACATGGCACAGGCATCAGGAAAACGACGCCATGTCCTATTTTGTCCGATTGAGCTGAAAGTGAAGGGGACATGACAATGCAACGCGAAGTCAACGACCTTCATAATTCGAAACCTGTCTTGTGTTGCTGATATTTTTCGCTGAGAGTAAACATTACACATTGTACCTAAACATTGTACCTATATCGCCTGTCGCCACGTCGTCGTGTTACGCAGCATAGCGCTATTGGCACAATCATGCCTCGACATGACCTGACTTGACCTGAGCCTGACCTGACCTGACCTGACCTGTGTTTGCAGGAGGACATTGCGAGCGGCGCCGGCTCGCTCTCCGAGGCCGACCAGGAGCGGTTCGAGTCGTCTGGCCTGTTCCGCTCGCGCACCCAGGGACTCTTCCGCACCTGCTACCCGGAGACCAAACCCAAAGGAGGTGAGACGGCCGCACTGAGGCGGACGCTCTATTGGGATTAGCCGTGGTGCTGGTAATTGGTACAAAGAGCAAGATGACGCCATAGGCTTTTAGGAAGGAAGAGCAAGCATAATCAGTTTCATCGGTGATTTGACGGTTACCGTGATCCGGGAAATATCCGGTGAAATGCATGTTTATCCGTCAACAATATGTGTCATAATTCAATGTATCTTTGACCAATGACCGACTGCCGATCCTCAGCAGCGCCCTCTCAATTATATAAGCCGGTTGCGTTGCATCAATAATGCAAACGTTCGCACTTTCTGGCTCAGCGAGTATTTTGCGAGACCTTTGTTTGAAGATGTTTCATGCAGCCTCGGCTCCACTGCACTAAGAACCGTGACGGACAAGTGGTGCAGTGGCGAACTGGAGCCCTGGCCACTGGCCAGCTCGCCAACGCTGGGAGCCATACCGCGCAGCGCGCACTGCACCTCGGGAACCGGCTGAAGGCGGCGCAGGCACGACACTGAGCCGTATTAGGGCGTCCGGCGGCACGGCCGACCGCCGGGGCTCCATATATTGCAGATGTCCGCCGTTCTTGTCCCGCACCGACACCGTTATACAAGGACGAGCCAGCTCGCCAGCGGAAATCGTGCAGTCGACCTGCAGTTAACATGTCGAAAATCAATTGTTGAATTGGCTCACAGATACGGGACGGGTTTTTTAGTGTCACGCTGTCATAAACTGATTCAGTTTTGTATTACTATTTCGAGTACGGCCATGTAAGCGGCAGTCTCTTTAAATTCATCATGTTTGTTACTGGCCATTGTTTCACTTGTAATGTCAGTACCTACTCCTGCACTATAACAGGCCCCAGTTCCTCGAAAGCCATGCCTCATATTCCTCTGATGACAGCGTTGCTGCTCCTCCCCAATCCTCCCCACCGCTCTAAACTATTCCTCTCATCCACGTGCCCAGACGACCAGGTGAAAGCTCGCGCCTGTAGCTGGCACCTCGGCATCCGGCGGCCTGTCGCCGGCTCGTCGGTCCGTCGGAGTTCCCGACCGACCTGTTTGTGTGAGCCGCGGCTCCGGCCCGGCCGGTGGGCTCTGTGCAGCCGGGGTGAGGCGGGCCACCGGTGCCGGCTGACCTCGCCGGCTCGTGACGGGCGGTCGGCGGCGGCGGCGGCGCCCAGGGTCGGCACCGACCGGCTGCAGGGCGACCGCGGCCCGCCGACCGCCGCGCCGGTCAGTGCCAAGTCAGAGGTCACCGGCTAATCAGGTCACCGGAGGCACACCGCGGCGGCCGCAGCTAACCGCAGTCCGCTGCTGGTGTGAGTCAGACTGCTGTCTGTGAGCTGCCGGAGTCAGACCAGCCTCTGGACGAGAGCCGAGTCTGGGCTCATGAACTGAACGAGGGGAGGGAGTGAGACGCCCGCGGACGGACTGCGGCTCCCGACGGACGGACGGCTCGGCGAGCCCGCGTCGCCGCCGGCACCGTCCGGACGGACAGACGTGCCGGAGCGCACACGACCGGTCCCCGCCGGCCGGCCTGCTCCGGAGAGAAAGTGCGAGCGAGAGGAGAGAAACGCCACCGGACCCGGCGGCCAGGACCGGAGGACGGCCGACCACCGCCCACACTGGCCGGCCGAGTTCGGACGTCACCGCTGCAGAGATGACTGACTTCGTGCTTAAACGGCCTAAAATTGCACATGTTCAAGCTCTAACTTTTATACAACGTCACGACCCAATTTAATGCTCCAGCGGAGCCTCGTTTCAGTAATACATTACGGCATGCGATAGCGCCGCTCCGAGTGCGGCTAATGCAGAGTTATGCACGGGCGGTGATTCAGTCTGATGCATGTTTCGCGACCGTGTCCTTGGAGGCCGGAGAATGTGGACACTGGAGACCCGCCGCCCACCCCGACTAAGCCGGCGGCACGGACACGGCCGCGCCGCTCACAGCGCCTGACGACGGGGTCTGCAAGGACCGCGCCCGCCACTCGGTATAGTCACGGACCATGGTCTCAGCTGTTTTCTGACTCTCCGGATGTGTGTAGATTTAGAATCCGTGGGCAGGTGTTCACAGAGAGCAGCCTTCAGCTGGCGTCATTTGTTACCGCAGTTTACCGCTACTGCGGAGTGCCCCGTCAAATGACAAGGCTCGTTACCCCGGCTCACTTCCGATCCTGTAAATCTGTTCTGCTCGGTGCCTCGACCTCGGCCTTCTCGCCAGTCGGCCTCTGTGCCCTCCGTTCTCTCCCCTCTCTCCTTTCCCTATCGTCGTTCTCTGCCCGCCCGCTCCGTGTCCCACACCTATACTTCAGCCAACCCGCCCACACATTGTATCGGACACAGCTCTGTCGGTTCCACATCGGTCCCTGCCCAAACCTCAGTGCGTCCTTTGTCTTGTGTGCACTAGACGACCACGGCCGACAGTGCGAACCTGCGACCGGACGCAGTAGTCATTAGGGCCTCCACCGCAGTCGTCTACTTCCACCACCGCCCGCGCCTCGGGGCACCGGACACGGACAACACGTATACCGACAAACGGACAGCGTCGCTGACGGCGAGCGCACGAGGCAGACAGTGACGGCGACGCGGCGGCTGACGCGGCGGAACGTTCCACCATCACCTCCAGCGGCGGAGCGCTGTGACTGATCGCACTAATGACGGCGACTTCCTGGCCGTCATGGCCCGAGGCACGACGGTGACTGAGCAGCGGCTGCCGGAGCGCTGACCCGCCGCCGGTCCATGTCCGGGTAGCTGACAAACTGAACTGCAGGGACGGACACTGATAGACCGCGGCTTTCAAAGAGCGTCACCAGGGAGTGGATGACGGATGGACAGCCGCGCAGTGCAGCTCTACTGAGGGGTGGAGAGATGAGGTACGGGGAGGGAGAGAGCGGGACGTTTACCAGGGAAACTCGTGGCAGAACTGAGCCGCGGTACGGACCCGATCCGAAGGGATTTCGACAGCGATCGGAGCGAGGGAGTGACGGGTCATACCGCAACTTCACCTGCTCGCGTGTGACGAGTTACACTGAAACTCCAACTGTCCGCGTGTGACGAGTAACACCGAAACTCTCCAACTGTCCGCGCTCGATCCGTCGAGGTCTGCTTCATGTTTGGTCTGTCGGCACGGCACGGGCCACCGGTCTGGAACAGTAGCCATGGCCGCTGACCCCTCACGTTTCGCCACGCTGGCGTCACAGTCGCCGGCTGGTAGTGGTGACACCGAGCGACCGTCGTCGATCGCGTGGGATCGGACTTTGCGGCCCGATGCTCGGCCGAAAAGCACAATGGCCACTGCATGCCATGTCTAGATTGCATCCCGTTTCCGCCAGGTAAGTTCATGTGCAGACAGTAACATGGAAGAACCCATTATTGCATTTACTGATTTCATATCATATCTGATATCCGGCTTTTGTGAGCCAAAAATTCATATAATATCCTGGAAGAATAGGAAATGATATAACTTTCTTACGGCATTGACCAGTGATCAGCTCTTTCGCATACGAGCCCTACCAAGCTTCTGATGAGTTCGTGCCAAGCGACAGTTGGCCACAGTAAGCTGGGAGGAAGACTTGCCCCGTATCTGAGGTGAATGCCGTCTCGGAGCCAGATGGCGACGCGCCAGTCACCGGCGTGTCCGGTCGGCGGGGCCGAGACCGGTCCGGTCCGGTCCGGTCCGGTCAGTCGGTCAGCGGTACAGCGACGAGCGCCGCCTGGACCATCGGCCCAGAGCAGGGGCGGACGGAGGCCAACGCAGATACACAATTCGTCCCATGATGGTTATTATAGAAGACTGACTAAGCTTAGCAATGCTAGTTTTCGAGCTCCTAACTAACTACAAAAAGAAACAGCCGGGGAGGGAAGAACAGCGATACAACAGGAAATTCTTGTCGGGCAGCCTTCACTGCTTCATTCAGTAGAAAGACAAAGGTATTGAAATGAAATGAAATCAATATGCTAACATTCCACGTCCAAACAAGCTGGTTTCAGGCATCAACAAGGTCGGCCGTTTCCATTGCAAAAGTCAATGCACCTCCAAGACGTTCCAGTTGGCACCCATCCCAGCACGTGTCAGACGCGTGAGTCACCGACTTCGTGTAACGGGACTCGGCCCACCGGCGGCGACCAGCGGCCATCATCAGGGCGACCGGCGCAGCGCGTCGGTGGTCTGGCAGGTGATAGCCGATACCCAAAATTTTCACTAACAGGCTGGCCAGAGGCAGGCATTAGTATCTGAGCGGGGCGCCGGAAGTCTCTTATGTTTGTCTTCTCCGAGGACTTGCCCGACCGCCAACCACCAGCAGCTGATGTTAAAGATAAAACTGCACTCAATATACTCGGACAAAACTACGCCTGTACTGGCTACTGCACTGATGCATCGGGTCCTTCACCCTGAGGATTTAATGTCACACAGGAGAAACGAAAGCCAAGCGGTGTTCTCTTGGATGTTTAAGGTGTTCAGATACCTATTGACTGACCTTGTTGCCTTCCCCACAGGGGCGGCGGATTCGGGGGGGCAGGGGGGGCAGCTGCCCCCCCTGGCAAACTCGTGGGGGGGGCAAAAGTATCTTTTTGCCCCCCCCCCCATAATTTGTGACAAAGCTTAGGCAAGAAACCATATACCTGATTATTCTGTTCGATCATCTGAAAATGTAACCAGATGCCTATATATATACTTTATCATACGCTGCCTTTCTTAAACGGCAAGGGTTCGCGTTCAACTGAAGTTTTCCTCTCTTCAACCTAGTTTTGGAGGCATTATAAGCGTCAACGTGACGCAGTGGCAACCCAGGCCAATTCAGTGACCGCTTACAGGGGCGACGGATACGGGGTGGCAGAGGAGGCACCGTCCCCTAAAAAACTTTTGGAGGAGGGGCAAACGTACATTCTTGCCCCTCCATAATTTGTGCCCTAAACATGAGGAAAATTTTCATAACCTGATATTGCAGCTATGCGCTCCTACGGTTTGTTCAACGGTGCCTTTTGAATATGTGTAAATACTAACCATTTCCGCTTTATATCATTTTTTGTCTTTTCAGATTCGATTTAGAGATATTTGAAGTGTGCGAGAGACGCAATTCATACCTTCAGTGGTCGTTTGCCGCTAATTTGTACCTACATAAATGCCAAATCGCAAGCGAGCGGAGAGGGAAGGGCTAGCCATTCGCTTACGGGTACCTAGTTAGGACTGATGAGCGCTCATAATAAGCCACTCCCCTCATTTTTTTTTTTGTCCAGCGCAAGAGTTTCCAGCGCATAAAATGGTAAACGTCGAGGTCGTACACATTGACCACATTGACCAATGCACAGTATGACACCCAAAGGCCAGTCATCAGAGATCTGCTTTGGGCATTCGGAGGCTTGTGTGGCAGAAGCGGCGGAACACTTTCAATTAAGGGGGGGGCACTGCCGACTTTTGGTCCCATTCTTTCCATGCAACGCCCATAGGGCTAATGTTAAAATGTCAAAATCAAAGGGGGGCACGGTGCCCCGGTGCCCTCCCCGTTCCGCCGCCTATGTTGTGTGGGGCGAGTGTAAAAACTGGATGTTCACAGTTCAGTATCCGCTTTATTTCAGTTTTCACTATTAAAAAAGTAAAAATTAATGTTGGAAACTTTTGAGGGTAAGGGCACTGATCATTAGTGGGCCCCCTCTGTCTAAAGGCTGGCTATAGAATGAAGAGCATCAAACACGAACAGTAGCGGCGGAACACCTTCAATTAAGGGGGGGGGCACTGCCGAATTTTGGACCCATTCTTTCCATACAACTCCCATAGGGCTAACGTTAAAATGCCAAAATCAAAGGGGATCACGGAGCCCCGGTGCCCTCCCCGTTCCGCCGCCTATGAACACGAAAGCAAAATCTAAGGCATTTTGGAAAAATGAGTATGCCCCGCAGCGTCCGATAAAGTTACCACCTTCCAGTGGGTCAAGCCAACGGGGCCCAAGTCTATAATGGCACTTAACGATAGCACTAACCTTGTCTCACTTTTCTTGAAGTCTGTTCCGAATGGTTTCGGCCACAGACTGGCTGCACTGAGGTCGTTTGGCATGTGCAACTGTAATTAAAGCCACCTGAGGCGCCCTGACACCAGGCTGAAGCTGGGTAGGAAATGCTTCGTCTTTGCAGATATCACTGGCCGCTGATTCTCGAGTGCCTAAAACGGTAGATGTCATGGCAAAATTTGGTGTGATAATTTGGACCTTACCGCAGTCAGCGCACCCTAAAGCCCTAATAAAGAAACGCCCCACCCAGAGCTTCTGGATTCTCGTTCCAGTCCACCGTTCCTTCACCCCAGCCCGCCGCCGCGCTCCCTCGCCTCAGCCCTCCGTTCCCAACTTGACGAGCGTTTGGGCCTTAGTTAAGCCTTGCTGTAGGCTTACTGTATAAACCCATCGAGACAGCCTGTCTCGGTGAGCTTAGTTGGCGAACTACTGCCTTGGGGAGGGTTTCTGGCGGATCGCTGTCCCAATAGGTTTAGATGCGACCGACTGTCTCTGAATGTTTAAGCGGTCTCCTCCCGCTGTGAGCTAGTTTCAGTTGATGTCTGTCTCAGAAATACTTTTTAAAGGAAGGCTAAATGGAAATCGAACGTAAAATGAACAGAGGAAATGGTAACGAGTTACCTCATTGAAGAATAGCGCTCGCCTACTTCAAAAGGTTTGGCACCGTTCTTCAACATCTGATATGCGATCGGGTTATGGCACAATTTTCCCATTGGAGCTTTTTTCTAATACAGCAATACGAAAAGCGTTACTTCGTCCACTGGCGGATCCATGGGGAGCGGGCATTTAAAGCAAATGTTTACTCCCTCTCCCCCTGGCCCCTGCATTGCCCGAAATAGACAAAACGTATCTTATGTTTCCTAATAATAACACTTTTATCGGATTTCTTTTTGCTTTATACTGTTTAGCAGTAAGGATCGAAATCCTAGGAGTTTTTTGGAGTTTGGACACTTTTTTTTTGGGGGGGGGGGTATGTCCCCTACAGCGTCGAAAACGCCTTTCTGGATCCGCCTATGACATCATCTCGACTGGGATCTTGCCCCCCCACGCCAAAATCGAATCCGCCGCCACTGCTTCCCCATGAGTAGAACTACTAACCAATAACCATATTCGGGCTTTTCTCACCAAGCTCGATGTTTATGTTGCATTCATCACATCTTCCCCAACCATACAAACAAACAAGTCATAGCGCACTTCCTTTTGGAGAAACAAGAGAAAACGTTCCTCCCCGGGAGGCGGCTCCAAGCCGGCGGTCCAGAGCTCACAACTCGTCCGTCATTTTCCGACGAAATGCCCACAAACAGGCGGCCTCCCGTTAGACGGGACGGACGCGGGTCGCGGGCCAGCGCCGGGACATAACGGTGAAAGCGAGCCCGCCGCGCGCAGCCCCGCGGTCCACCCATTACGGATTAATCGCACCGCCCGGCACTGCTAGAGGCCTCATGGGGCGGAGCGAATTCCAGCCGGTTGCGAAAACGAGACGGGTCCGACTCTAAGCGAGAAAGGATTGTCCGTCACGACTGTGTGAGTGATGTATGAAGATGTCGAAGAAAACTTGACGAGGGTCATTCGGAACAATTAACGTGGGTCATTCGGGACAAACAACAAATAACTGGACGGTGATATAGACGGTGCATGCATTGTACTCTTATTCGCTTCAACTTTCAGGCTGCCTCCGTGGCCAGCACCCGACAGTCGCACAATCTGCAATCACCTCAACCCTTTCCACCATGCTGACAAACACTCTGGCCGACACCCTGCGGCGATCAGAGATGTTCTCACCGAGGTGCGCCCGTCAGATCGGCTCGCCGCCCGGAGATTTCTCACATACCGGGCTGATCACGGAGATCACGGAGAGCGGGCAAGGGACTGAGCGGGGTGTCCCGGGTCTCGGCCAATACAGATGGACGGTAGATGTTGATGATTACTGCACTTCGTGGCCCGGGAGACACATGAATGTCGATTGCAAGTGACATCGGGGTCGCGCTAACCGTCGGTATCTTCCTCTATGGGCGCTTTGCAGGTTCGTGCCTGCCAATCTCATTTTGTGAGCGTCCTGTGCAGGGTCGTGCCTATCTAGCTCTAGGAGTGTCACATGCAGGTCCGTGTCAGTAGTTCATTCCAAGGTCGACGGCCTGACCTCGCCGCTGACAATTTCCGGATGGCTCCCGCACACGATTGGCACGATTCGGCGGCGACATCAGGCTACTCTTGTGAGTACATTGGCTGGACCCGAGGCGTTCTCTGGCGATCCAGAGTTCGGTCCGTGTGACCTGAATGGTGTTATCAGAAGTTCGATGCCTTGGCTTTCGACTGGCGAGACCGGTTGGCGGCCGGCCGTCTGACCATTTCCAGCGACCAGTTCTGACAGACGCGGAGGTCGGAGTATGCGGTACGGCGGCTCTCCGGTCAACCAGCCCACGTAGGTATATGGAGGATGTAGGTCACAGAATGTCATTGACACCTCGCACCTCGCTGGAAGCTCCTTTGAATCGTTGAAGGCCTGACTCTGACGCAAATTGCTTGCCCCGCAGACTACTGGACTATAATAGTCATTCAACCTACGATGGATTTATGCGAATTTTCGGCCGTTTGATTTATGCCGTGCCGGAGACACGCGTGTGTAACGACACGTTTTCCTCTTTGTTTCAGTGGAGCTATACCTGAGTCCGGTGGAGACCTACTGTGAGAACATCGACTACTACATCCCCGATGAGGAGAACCTCACGAAATCGTTCTCAGAGGAGCGCATGGCGAGGCTGCGTGAGTATGCTTGAGCACTCGGCAGATCGGTGACGTTCCGCAACTCTGTGTGAACTGCAAAATCGCGATAACACAAGGGAAGAAATGCTGATGTTGCAAACCAATCCGATAATGGTCAAGTTAAAAAAAAATACAGTTTGCATCTTGACCAGGGTACTTCTGCGGAGCGGCGCTTTCTTTGAGCGCTTTGATACCTATGCTCGATGTGAATCGAGCATCGAGCATTTGATGTTTATTGCTCGATGTGAATCGCCGCTTTCGCTGCCAAGCAAAGTCGACCATTCCCAGGGCCGCGTCGCGGTACATCATTTACGGCTGACGTTCCTATTTCAGACATGGCTCGCTCCATGATCGCGCTCTTCATCGCCGCCTTCTTCTTCGTGTTCGTGGCCTTCTGGACGGGCGTGACGGGCTGCTGGCGCCGCTCACCGGGCAACATAGGCACCACGGCCGCCCTGATGCTGTTCGCATGTGAGTCGCCGCCGTACGCAGGTCCCAGAGGACACCCCGGGGAGGTTCAGCATTCAGTAGGCGTAAGGGCGAAGCCCCAGCGATGTTCAGAGTGGCGATCGCGAAGGGCCTCGCTCCAGGTAATTTATGAAGGCAAGTGCTTACGATGGTCGTATTGCGCCTGGTACTAAACGTGAAACCAGGTCAACTGCAGCTCTCCCACAAAAATTGTCCTCAGTTATGCTAAAGCCCCTCCGTCTGATCCGTACGAATGTGAATGCCTCACTAATGCAGGAAGTTGCTTGTGTTCCCGAGTCTCACGTAAGGTAACATCTGTTGCACATGTTGTCGCAGGTCTCTTCTCGGCGGGTTCGATGGGCCTGTGGCACGGAGTGCAGTACTACGAACAGAAGAAACTCAACGAGGCTCCCTTCTACCAGAGCTGGCCGCCGGTAAGGGGTTGTCCAGGGTGGTACAATTGTCGCTATGGGGGTTACACGAGATCCGGCTCTCCCAAGTCTCAACTATTTCACGATTGCCCGAAGGAACCGTAGCTGGCCATTAGTTTCATGTTCTTCAATGGAGCTTTGCAAGGCGATTCTTAGTTCCAGGTAGAAAACTAAGTTCAAGGAATTGATGCTGGCCCGGAACTAACCAAGGTTCTGCCAATGACTCATACAAATTGTTTAGGGGTCTCACGAATTCGCCAAACTTCAGGAATGTTTTGCTCATCATTACTATTTACCCTTGTGTACTTGTGTGTTGAAAATATTTATTTGTCACGTTATTAGATTGATTAAATGAACCTATGAATCATCGACAATGATGAACCTTTATAGCCACGTTGAGCCTCCAGTTTGACCCATGTTCCATAAGTGTTCACATGTTCTTTCGCATGATCTGCATCGTGCTTTTTATCGACAAATTGATCGTCACTGTGCCAGAATGTTGCGCATGTCTCATCATTAGCTGAGCCTTTCTTAAAACTCAAAAATCATCTTGCTGTCTCTCAACTTCTTTCTTCCATCCGCTGTTCACCACACGGCGAATGATTTCTTTGTCACCAACAACTCACGATCAATAACTACGTCCAGTTCTTGCATCGGTCTGGGCAATGGTGTCCTTATGCCATCCATGTTACGGTGCACCTAGTTAAAGGAAATAGTTCACTTTTTAACATGGGCTTTGAACTGGAATAGCAGTTCCGTAGCCTGGGCTGAGACGAGCATAAATCAGGAGCTTTTACAGCCCAACGATCACCCTAGGCAAAGATATTCCATTTCTCGTCCCGAAAAAGGTGTCTTGCGTTGAGGATTTGTGCCTTGCATATATTTGCATCCAGTATGAAAAGAGCATGGGTACCGAAAATTCTTCAGAAACTAGAGAAATTATCTACGAGAACTCTAGAGAAATTCTCGTACTGATCAATAAGGACATTCAGCAGCAGCAGATCGCCCAAATGCCGGTGGCCGCGATAATTTCTCTAGTTTCTGAAGAATTTTCGGGACCCTTGCTCTTTTCATACTGGATCGCGTGTGCCTTACAGAAACTGAAAAGTTCTTCCTATATCAAAATATAGAAAATAATCTTTTGTTATAAATAGGTTTTATTTTCTTTGCTGATCATTTTGAACATAAAAAATCATAAATCCATTGCAAAAAAAATAATTTCGTGAAAGTGAACTATTTCCTTTAATCGTGACCTTGTACCTACATCACATGTCTTCTGCTCACATGTCTATGTCACTCAATTTTCGATCGTTTGTACCTCGCGAATATATTCTTCTGTTACTACTGTCTGTAACTGGTATCAACACTGCCAACTCAAGTGAAAAATGTCGGCGGAAACTTCCTGCATTTACCGGAAATTTGTAACTTGAAACATTGCATGTTAGCATAATATATTTCATTTCAACTGCAGAAATGAAGTGAAACAAAGCCAGTGCTTTCATTGGAAGTTAAGGAAGTCTTTGCCGACAGGCTTCATCTTTCACCATTCTTCTTGTGTCTCTGTTGACGGTGGCGTCCTTTCTAGCTCGCGCAGAAGCACAGCCATGCGGCGTTCGACTGGAGCTATTTCCTGGCATGGGTCGGCGTCGGATGTTCGTTCTTCAGTTTCCTGTTTCTAGCTATCGCCTCGTGTTGCCTGCGCTCTGAGCGAGCCAAGGCGACCGAGGTGGCCCAGTCTCAGCTGGTGATGCCAGGTAACCACCGTGCCCACGTCGGGAGCAGGAGTGTCCGGCTCCCACGCATACTCTTCAGTTAAGCTGCATCACAGTCTGGTGGCGGCGGCGAGGTGGATGATAACGCTTTTGGCTTCGCTTGCATGTCTTGCAGATGAGCATGAGACCTAAGTCATCCACCCTGCTCTCACAGCTGTCAGCAGAAGTTCCTGTCCTCGCTCACCTCCAACATCGCCATCCTGCCAGGAAATCGGCGGAGCGTCCGAGCCCTGTCCTCACGTCCACGACCATCCAGCTGACTCAGCCGTAGATAAATGGGGAAAGGGCGCGTCACTAACCGAGATCGCTCGCCTGGCAATTGCAGCTGCTGCAGGAGCGTAGTGTAGCCGTGTTCGATTGGTCCTACTTTATCGCCTGGGTCGGTGTCGGCTGGGTGCTCGTGTCGGCGCTCCTCTTCGTCGGAGCCTCCGTCTGCCTCAAACGCGAAATGTACAGCGAGAAGCGCCGCAACCTGCCCTACATCATGCCTGGTAGGTGGCAGCTTCGCCGAGCGGTGGGCGCGGCAGATGACCAAAGCTGCTGTCAGTCGCGCTGCAGATGACTTGATGACGCTACCTGTAGAGTAGTGGCCCACGGCGAGCGCAGGGCAGGGCGGCTGAGATCCAGTGACCACTAGGTGTCATCAACTAGCACCTGACAATGCGGCCCGATAAATGCATGGCGCAAGCTGGTTAGGATAGTTAAACAGGACGGTGTCTATGATCTTACTCGATGTATTTATATTTTTGAATTTAAACGACTTAAGAATCCGAAGTTTGCTCTTTTGCTCATACCATATAAGTAAACAAACGCAAGATGTGTTTTGCTGATTGTTAATGTTGACAAATAGGTTCCCGTTCTCTATCCGGAATCTGTCAACGAGGAACCGCTGCCAAGACCACTTGGATATAGCTTTGTTTGTGGTGTGTTGGAACGTTGTTTGACCCTAGTTGTGTGATTTCAGTTTACCCGACCAAGTCATCCAACGGTGGTTACGGCCCCAACCCGGGCTATGCCTACGCGGCCTCCTACAGCCAGCCGGGTCCCTACTACAGCGGCCAGCAGTACGCCTACAACTACTAAAACACCCCTGGCGCCACCTGCCGGACGCCTCCACAGCCACCATTCTCAGAGAACTAGTGTCCCAATGGGGATGCGCCAAAACTGTGGTACGATGGGGGTGAGCTGACATCAGAGGTGGGAGCTGTGCGTCCCGACCGCACTGCGCCATCACGCTGGTTTCACTGCCAGGAACCACTTGTGAACCGCGACACGCGAAACCGCCATCGTCGCCATCGTGTGGACGCTCTTCCGCTTCGCGAGGTGCGGTAACGGTGATCCGCGCCACCTACCGTGGCCGGAGTTGGGACTGAATGTTCTACGCACCTGGTGCCAGCCAGGTGCAAAGACGCCATCGGTTCAGGGAACGTGCCCGCAGTCCAGACTTTCGCCCAGTTCCCTGCCCTGAGAGGATGGGGCAGACGGCAGTGCGTGCGACACGGGACCGTCATACCAATGCCGATGGTTGGTTGTGATGTCTGAGCGTGAGGTGCGATGCTGCAGCGCGCGATGTATGTGTATATGGAGAAAGCTCAACAACTCCCCATATAGGAACAAAATGGAGGAAAGGGGGAGGTTGCAGGGAAAGCCTGGCGGGTGCGACAAGAGGAATAAGCGTCGACATCAAGAGATGATGGGAGACGAAGGTCTGTGCGCAAACTGCTTGTATGTGTGCTAATGCTCAAATGCGAGCGTCGTGCGATCGTGCGCACAGACATGTAAGCATGTATGGACGTGGTGACAAGACAGCGCTCGTGTGCCGAGGTCGCGTGGTGCTGCGCTCCGACAACAGCAGCGAGAGTCGGAGTTGCGCTGTGGACCAGGCCAGGTTCGCCGCCACCAAATTTGACTGGAACATGAACAGCGATGACAGCTACTGAAACGTGAACCAGACACATCTCCAGCCGCTGAAGATTTCTCCTTCACGTGTGAGGTTGCATTAAAGCCGCCTTAGCCCTGTCGAACGGTCGTCATGCGCGACAGTAGCTGCTCGAGGAGGCAAGACCGCCCCTCCCCCCCGAACTGCAGCTGCAAATGAGCAAGGATCTACTCCAAAGTGTCTGAGCGCACCACTGTTCTTCTGTCAGAGTGTCTGTGAGCCCATGAGTGTCCTGTCAGAGTGCCTGTGAGCGTATTAGCTATTCTGTATGAGTGTCTGGCCGTATAGAATACCTGTATGAAGTCGCTCGATATCGAGAGATCATTATCATGTGACTGACAAGTGACAACCATGAATAGAAGCCAATACATCAACCCAACATCCATCCTTCTCGTCGAATAGCGGCTTGAAATAAGTCAAAGATTATAAACGACAGAGTTTATTCTCCAATGGGGCTTGCGAACCTGTTGCTGGTTGTAAATAGCACTCGCAATGCAGACAGCACATAGGTCATACAGTTCAATAAACCAGCTCGCGCTCATGTTTCCAAGCAAGCGATAACAAACATGCCACTTCCCTCACCTAACCACCCTATCACTCATGACTAGGCCGCGCTCGGCTTATATTCGCTGTAGTCGTAAACCCGGAAGGGCACGTCAAACGCCAGCGTGCCGTACTCCCTAGCCTTGGTCATGGCGGCCAGCAGTTCGCGGTGCTTCACCTGGCAGAGGCCAGTGCGCGACGTGTCACGGATTGCCAGTGCTCAGTTGGCCACCGCGTATGCACGTGCGCCGCGTCTTGCGCGGCGGAATGTGGCCCTTGTGGTTGCGTCGGTAGCTGCGCCACACGGGCTCAGAGCCGTAGGTGGCCCGGTAGGCGGCGCTCTGCAGGTAAGCGATGCTCGTCTCCACCGGTACCGGGTTGCTGCGATCCTTGTTCAGTGGCCGCAGCTCCAGCGGGGGCTCCGCGCCAACCGGACCGGCCAGGGCGACGGCCGAGGTACGCAGGCCTGCTGACGGGGACGGCCGAGCCGCTGACTGGCACAGCGCCGCGCCCGCCGACAGGCACGGCCGAGCAGTCGACCGGCACAGCATCGTGCCCGCCAACCGCAGCACAGACTGCATCATTGCCGCGCGGCCCGACCAAGACAGATCCAACTGCGCCCAACTTCACTCACAGCAGTGTTCACTTTCAGAAGTAATCTTGAGACCTGTAGATCCGGTAGAAGCAGTTGAACTGAGATAATCTCCCCAAGGCTGATTTTCCACAGTAAATATTGCTCATTAACATAAACTGGAAGAAGGAAAGAGGTCAGTCACACCTTTATCCAATAATATGTTGTCTTTCTGGCGGTGTCCCAAAATCATATTTTGGATTGGGTGTCGGAGGGAAATATTCATCACTACAAAGAGGGCTCAGAGTGGAAAACTGCCAGTCAGAAAGGCTCTAGAAAGTGTTGAAAACAGGGATAAACAATTTATTTGTGAATGTTGGAGGATGCGGGAGCTGCCTTATAAGATAATTGAATCAAATATGGAGGGAGGTAAAATGTACACGCAGATGCTCTTATTGGTAAAACGGAGAGTGAAAAATTGCTCTGAAAAAAGATGGAGGTGAGAGTGGAAAATTATTTTGATGTGGATGTCGCTTCCCATCCAAACTGGCAAGGGACACTGATTTATGGCACAATGGAGCACCTACACACTCCTTTTTATCCTGAAGCTCTAGCTCAATTAGAGGTGAAACAGTGAGGATACTAGGAACTGGAAGGCAGAATAGTCAACGGCTGATTGGGGCATACCTGCCAATGTAAATGTGATATGACTTTCTGCATGGAGTTTTGAATCGAAACAGCAGTTTTGTGGCTTGAGCTGATAATAACACCATTCAGATGCTTTCCAACAATCAGTCTAGCTAATGATCTTTTAGTTCATGTTCCTAATTGAGTCCTGTATCCAGGAATCCATGGCTTAACCAGGTATGTTACAAAGTACAAACTATTCAATATTCAAACCAATATGCATGCAGATTCACCATGTGAGCAGAAAAGTCTCAGGCTGATTCGCTGTTTAAGTCAATATGGTGTTATTTTGGTATTGGCATACAAAAAGTCCATTTGCCAAAGCGATTATAAAAAGCATACCAGATGATTATTTTGACCTACCTACTGATTTCTTATCTGGTAGTTATTGATGGCACAATCAAGTTACAAGTATCACCTATCAAAGCACTTGTGCAATATTTACTGTCACTGCCGCAGACTGGTTTTTGATTCACCTTTTATGGATGGATTCAACCATTGATTCATTTGATTTTTGTTTGATTCAATCACCGTTTGATTCCTTCAAAAAATTTGGTGAATCGATTCCTTTTGATTCAGAGAATCAAAAACAATAAAAGGAATGATTCACGTTTGATTCAGCCAATTTTGTTTGAATGATTCTTTTTTGATTCAATAAAAAATAAAAGATACAAAATATCAGGGATAGTATTGTATTTGTTGTGTTCTTTTTGTTGTCATGTAATGGCAGTAGTGTTAATATTTGTTGATAATGAACTATGTTCGTTCACTTCATTTTTTTTTAAAGTTCATGAATCATTAATTTTTTTGATTCAATCAACCCTGATTCCCAATGCGTTTGATTCAATCATGGCTTGTGAATCAAACAATCCTGACAGTGAATCAAACCTTTTTGATTCAACAAATTTTGTTTGATTCAATCCAATCGATTCAATCACAGATGAATCAAACACCAGTCTGCACTGCCGCCCGGCAGTCGGCACTGCCCATCACACTCAAGCCGCCATTTATCCTGTAGACCGGATAAACTCCAAAGTTGAATGAAAACATATTACAGATTTTATTCCATGGCATTATAAAAATGGCATCATAATCATAAACATGAAAATGCTAGAAAATTGGGAAAAAGTTAATGTTGGGACCTGGGGTTTATGGGTGAGGGAGGGAGGAAGGCAAACATCTCAGGTTCAGGTCACAGGTGGCCCTGGTGGGCAAACATCTCTGGTTAGGTTAGGTGGTTTTTACTTTCAGAGACTTGGGCCATGAGGTAGAATCACTATAACAGCCCTTATAGGACTTAAAACTGCTTGACACTGTGCATAATATGACCAAATCATCAGAAACATTGCATACAGATTAAAGAAGCTCTAACTTCTAGCACAAAAAGGGATGCATTAAATATTGCATTTAATGTTGATGGAAAATAAGCACCTACTCTGGTGAAAAAGTTGATGACAATATCACACCGCAAGTGGTTTAATACCTACTACTAGTACTGAGCCTTTTTCTTTCCCACCACAAATCACAGTCAACAGTCAACACCACTGTTGCAATGTTGCCATTGTGAAAAATATTTTTGGTCCATTTAAGTCATAGAAATAAAGACTAGAACGGACAGCTGTCTCTGCAGGATACACAAATTGCACCACCCTTGAACCACAACCCTTGATTGATTGTTTATATTGGACCCTATGACGGAATCGTGTAGTAGGGTGGCCGTGGTTTCATGCCCTATTTTATAGAATCAAAGGGGTGCAGGGATATTTCGGGTGGAGTCCCCTGTCCCACAAATGAAATGAATCAGAGAAAATGTTTGATCACATTTCGGGGAGTGATTGACTTTTGTACAACATTCCAATTCATGAGACTGTTAGATTGCAACTCCAATGCATCACCTTCAGCACTGCACAGCACTGCTTCGCTATGAGTACTTTGACATCACTTTCCTTACAGTTTGAAATTATCTGTAATATACCCATACATTCATCCATTCAATGCCAGGCAAAAGTAGGTAGCGCACAGATGGTCTTCGCATGCAGTTCCGGTCAGAGGTGTGGGAAGTTGGTGGCAAGGCTATATAAACGGTTGGTGGTGACAGTAAATGGTGCACAGGGCGGTGTTTCACGGGCTGCTGCTACCACGCTGCTATCAAATTGCGCGAGCTGACGTCACACTTGTGGTAGTGTTGGAGCAATGGGCCTGTTGATGTCTCCATGGAAACCCAATTTGACAAGTCGTAAAATCGGCGTGCTGCTACCACCGCACAGTGGCCCTTTTTCAGAATTAGCACGCATTAATTCCCACATTACCTGAAAGTGGTGCAAGACATCACCACGTGATCAAGGACGTATTCCCTGCCAATGCAAAGACAAGAAAAGAAACGAACTGCCCAAGGAGATTCGGCCCAACAGCGACAGGCCGCTCGGCCCAAGATTTGGCGCACGTTCGCACGGCTCGCCCGCCGGCCCAGGCCGCTCCAAACGCAAGTGTGGCGAGCCCGCCAGCCGACCGCGCTGCACTGACCGCCAGGACGCCCCAGGGCGTCACATGACCGCATCTGCAGCTGTTGCCAGCCACCGTTAGTCGGCCCCGGCCGGGCAGCAACTAAGGTCAGCGCGACGCGAACAATACAAACACATAGGCGCTTTTGACGTTAGATCTTAAGCCGACCACGGGACTTGTGCGGCTTGGACATCAAACGCGACAAGAAATCGGACAGTTTTTCTTGAGCACAGCGTTATGCCTACATGACATTTCAATAAGCACATCTTATGGCAAAAGTCAAGCCACATTTAGACGCCCACCAGGTGACACCAGCTTCGAGCCAGGTCAATGAGCTTAGTCGTATCGAATAGGAGCCACAGCCGCTCGCGGACTGAACTGGCTCACGTTATTCACCGTAGAAGCAAAATGGCGCAAAATGGCGCGATGCCCTTTGGTGGACATGGTCAGAAGAGATCGGCGATTCGAACGATGTATAATACGATATGTTCCAGAGTGTGCTACTTAACATAAAGCTTCATATGTATGCCGCCATCTCCAGTTAATAATTGTCCTGTTATTGTGTCCACAATATTCGGCAAAAGTGGTCTATTTAAGTTTATACAATGAAAATTGTGGTTTCTAGGGCTTCTACGTAAACTCAGCTTCACAGCCATGCCACTAATTTTTAATATTTTCTCACCGAAAGCCTTACAAATTGATGTTCATCTCACCCTACTTTTTAGGGTCCGCCGGTGGTGTCCGCGCGCCTCTCGACAAACTTCGATTTTGCGGTCAGTTTTACCAAAGATAATTATTTTTTAGGAGGTAAAAATGGCACCATCGGATAGTTTGGAATGTTTTGCACACGATTAGACTGCTTTTTACTCAAAAGAAGAGAAAAAATATTTTGAATTTATGCGTGCTAATTCTGAAAAAGGGCCACTGTGCACCGGTGAAACAGGGCCCTGGTGCTTTTAATGGCTCTCTCTATCGTCTGGAGGTTTCGAAAGATGCTCTCCAGAGATGGCGCTAGTAAATTTGGCTGACATGACGTCATGCTAAAAAGTGATGGGTTTTGTGAGAGCAAATGTAATAATAGTTGAAAATTTTGTACTTTTGCTTAATTAAGAAAAGATAAATACACAATTGTTCAAAACAGCGTTTTCCTCATTCATCCTTCATTGTTTTAAGAGGAATATAGACAGTTTAAAGGGACCCTCCCACCTTAACATTAGTTTTGAGTTGAGATAGCCAAGTTTGCGGCCAGGCTCAGAAACCACCATTTATCCTGATCGCAACCCCCGCAGCTTTATGGTGTTCAAGAAATTTCTTCCCTTTACTTGCAGGGTGGGACCAGCGTGGTCCCTATCTCTTAACCATTACGGGAATCTGATGACGTCATCAGGCTTTCGAACGTCCGTTAAATGTTTGACTAAAACGTTTTGTAGCACGCGGTGGTATATGCTGCTTTGCGCGCAACAAATGCCGCACTTTCAAATAAAGTCGCTAGGAACAGCGGAGATCCCAAAAAGTAAACAAAAGTAAAAGTCTAATATCTTGAAAACCGGTGAATATTTTTCGATGAAATTTGGTAGATATTCGTTTTTGCTCTTTCTGAACCGAGCGACATCACTTTCATGCCAATTCATTAACTTTTTTGAAGGTGGGAGGGTCCCTTTAAATATTTTTTCTTGACCGCAATTCGCACACGCACTAAATTAAAAGCTGGAGTTTTGTGCGTTCGTAAATCGTGATTTGAGAAAATAAGTTGACAATAATCTTTTGCACTTTTGCTTTACAATCATTTTTCAATGCAGATAAATGCATAAATTATTCGATAATAGGCATATCTTTGAAATATTATGATTTTCCACAAGCAAAATTTCCCAAAAACTTGAACTACTTACAACTGACGAACGCATCCAATAATCTGGATGTCTTAGGATGAGTTCGTCATTTTTTTCCAAGGAAATACGATACAGTTCAAGCTACTTTACCGATTTATTAGGGTACTTTTGCCAATGAATTAATAAATAAATGACAACAATCAATCTCATTATCAACCATACTCGGAAGAATTTTCTTCGCATAAGCGCGAACACATCCGCGCTTTCATGAAAAGTCACGCCTGTAGATGTCAGGACTGCTGCTTTATGTTTCGCAAGGTGGCGCAGCGCGCAGGGTACCGACTACCGAGGCTGAGGTCTCCAGACTCTCCACCACGATTTAACTTGGAAATGGCCGATGGGGAAGGTCTCACCCAAAAACGGACGCCCTTTTACACAACTGCATAAAGAGAATGAATTATTGGCATAGCTGACCACACGTCCCCTCCCCCTCTCCGCCCCAGCTCAATAGGAAATATCGCCTATTTTCCTTAGTCAGTTATATTCTGACTAATTTCTCACTCTTCCCAGTAAATTAACACGCGCACTGCAGGGGGGGGGTTGTTTTCAACCCCCCCCTGTGGTTTTTCGCAAATCGCGAGAAAACGGCGGCGCGTAGCGCCGCCAAATTTTGCATACCTGTTCTCCCAACTTTTGCACACCTTGAGTAAAAATTTTGACCCCAGGTGACCTATGGTCAGGTCACCAGGTCAGGTCAAGTGACCCTACCTCGAAACGTAAATTTCGAAGTTTGCAATCCCACCAAGCCCACAGTTGTTGAGATATGATCTTGAAACCCACAGGAAATAGTAGTCATCACGAGCTACAACTTGTATATCTCGGAATTTTTATATCGATGACCTAAGGTCAGGTCATTTTTGCGACCGGCCCATTATAAGTCAATGGGAGAAATTTCAACTTACTCTGAATGCCATCCTATGACTTCAATACGCTCAGGATCATAGTATTACAGGTCCCTGTTGGTGATTTCACCGAAACATATCACTTATGACCTTTGGAAGGTGATCTCCAGGTCATCTTAGGTCACCTGAGGTCACCAGCGGTTTTTCTTCAATAACTTGAGATTGAATAGAGATAGAGACTCCGTTCGACGTTTATCGTGTTTTTCTCGTCAATGCGGATCGAATGATATGCAACATGACCTATTTCGGTCAGGTCATGACCTTGACCTGAGGTCAATTTTTCAACTTGACCTTTCGAGGTCATATTATATATCATTCGATGCGCCTTGACGAGCTAAGAACGATGGCGTTCGAATCGATCCTCTGTCTTGTGTGCAAGACAAGTTATTCAAGAAAAACTACCGCGAAATTCCTGTTGTGAAAATCGTAACATTTTGTCTTCGGTGACCTCTGGTGACCTCGTTTTTGACCTGACCCAAAAATGATCTTTGTATTTCTTGTAGATCTCATCTTAACCTATCCAACGCCGTTTACCGCTTGTCGCTACGTTGCGCCGTTTTCGAGATCTCAGGGGGGGGTTGTTTTCAACCCCCCCCCCCTGCAGTTCGTGTTCGGCTCAGACCCGCTGCAGTGCGCGTGTTAACATGCATGATGCAGATGTCCACTGCGTAAGTCGTGTGCTTCCGTAAGTGTGCCAACTATATAGTGTTGCCTACACTCTACAGTGCCTACTGCTTCCCCATTGTCGTTATAATTGGTGATTCTCAGGTCAAAAGTTACACAGTGGTCTCAGAGAACAATCGTTTCAACAAATTAACGATTCAAACCGTTGCATTCTACTGATATTCCGGTCAGTTCTGCTACTAAACGATTCCGGCAAAACACTCTTTAGGTTATGTATTAGCGAACCACCACACAAAATTCGCCCAATCAATGGTCAGTTATTACTGCTGGGCTGAACCGTCATACGCTATATAGCCTATTGCAGTCAATATTTTCAGAACGATACTGACTGACGAAACACAACGTATTCGCGGATTCGCACATACGCTGGCACCCAGGTGGCCTGTCAGCAGCCGCACAAATCCGCACAGCGCAGCCGGGATTTGACATTGAGATGGTACACCGTAAAGCATGCCTTTCCACACAGGCACAAGCACAGGGACACAAATTCTCAAAATCCAAACTTATTCCAATACTGGTCAATTACGAATAGGCATAAAGTTTTGAGGTTTTCTCATGTTCATTCTTCTTTCAACACACGCGGCAGACTGCAGCAGCTGCAGAACATCTCACAGAGCTGCGCTGGATGCAGTCATGAGCTGGGACACGGTTTGTGACCAATGACCGATCGGGGGTGCCAGCCTCCTCCCGGCACGCGATGCACTGGCCGCCGCGCAGTCGATGTCGGGGCACCGCCGGCAGACAGGGTTCCATCCGATTCGGTGTATTGGTGGCAGCCCGAACAGTGACCCACGCGAAGCTGGCGGACGTCGATGGCCGATGAGCGATGCCCTTCCGCGACCGGCGGTGGCAGTCGGTCCCACATCAAGAACAGATACCAGTCATGCGGTCAGTCGGCGATGGCGCTGTCGCGAGCCGATCTGATGGTCGCGCGGTGGGCGTTGCCGACGTCCACCGGGACCGTCGACTGGGGGAGCGCGGCCGCCTCTTGGCCGCCGCCTCTGGTCGGCGAGCTCGTTGCGCTGTGGGACGGCATCCACTGCAAGTCGTTCACTGTGAAGCGGTCGTTTGACCGGACCTGGCAGGCGGGGAAAGGGGGCCTCAGATGAAGTAAA